TTTTTAATGGCGACGGTCTCTTATTTGAAAGTACGTGGAATTAAATCCACAGCCCCGTAGTCAAGTTGTTTTTCCCGCCTTTTCTACACGTACAGTTATAGAATGTTCTGGAAATTTTTAAAGCGAACTGGAATGGCTGACAAGGCTGACGTCATTTCTTGGAAGCTCCGCCTTTCCAGAGGCTATAAAAGGACTCGCAAAGGAATATCGGAGTCTTTTTCTTTAATGTAACGATGCAGTAAACTTCATTCAATAGTAATAATTTTTTATTCACTCCGGAGATCAGATTTTTGTAATTGCTATTTCTTCTGAATAATAATAAATGGATGATCCTGTTTTTTAAACTTATCGTCTGATAATTTAAGTTACGACTACATCTATGATTCTTCACTAATCTATTTATTCCGGACAAAAGCTGGTACATCACATATATATATATGCGCTTTGTTTCTCAACAAATACACTTATATATATTATATATACTCTAGATACGGTGCTACCGCATCACATCCGCTTTAAAGACCTCTGCAAGGTTTCATTCGGTGTCCGCCGATAACATCGCGGACGAAAACGTCGCGGAGAAAACAACGCAAGGAGAAAACGTCGTGCTACAAAACATCGCAAAGAAAACATCGTGGTACAAAACATCGTCGTCGAAAATAAAGCGGTTCAAAAACTTGCAGTTTAAAAACATCGTCGTTGAAAATATCGTGGTAAAAAATAAAGTATCTACAAATGATCGCATGACGATAACATCGCAGATATTCTTTTTTCGGGTTTTAATAATTGGAAATGGATATTCCCATAATGATTTGTGAGCGCAAGATGTAAAGAAGGATAATTTTTACTTTCACATTTTTTTAATAACTAATAAATTTTGCTGAAAAAGTAAAAGGAAATTTAAGCATAAATAATTAAATGCAACTTATAGCTTATACTTTTCATGAAAATTACCAGTAAAAGCATTACAAAAAATTATTTATTAATGGCCTTTGTTAGTTAACTATGTCGGTCTAAAATTCCATTAGTGCTCTAAGTTGCATTAATTTCTATGCTTAAGTTTCCTTCTATTTTCTCAGCAAAATTCATTAGTTAATAAAAAAATATGAAAGTAAAAATTATCCTTCTTTCCATCTTGCGCTCACAAATCTTATGGGAATATCCATTTACAGTTATAAAGAATGTCTCCGAAAAGCATGTCTGAAAAAAGCATATCTGGATGTTATCGTCATGCGATGATTTGTAGATACTTTATTTTTACACGATATTTTCGACACGATGTTTTTTAAACGCGAAGTTTTTGAACCGCTTATTTTTCGACGACGATGTTTTTTTGTACCACGATGTTTTCTCGTTGCGATGTTTTCTCCCACGATGTTTTGTAACACGACGTTTTCGCCTTGCGTTGTTTTCTCCGCGACGTTTTCGTCCGCGATGTTTTCGTCTGTAACCTTTCATTCTATTGACAGCGTTCTAATGCTTAATGTTATTTTCCATCATGCAGAATCTGCGGCCTTTTTTAAATCTTCGTGTTTGTATTGAAAATTTTTGAGACACGATTGCATTTATTTTAAACGTTATACGCATTTTACCCCCCGTTTTTGTACATATGAGTGCCTGTCATCTCGTCTTATCCTGCAGATCTCCAACTGATGCCATGTTTTCTGCACTTCTAAAGTTCATGTGACTAAGTTTTTCGGACTGTTTTATGACCACTGTGTACATCCCTTGAAAGTTCAATCAAGAATGCTCATTCTAAAGTTTAATAATGGAAAACTGAAACTTACGTTTTACTAATCCTTCTCTTTCTTGTCTTCTCTTCGGATATAAAGTATATTCCAGAAGTTCCCATTTGTTGCTCAAAATGTTGCATCGCTTATTAACATCTTCCTTCAGTTCTGGATTTATGGCCTCCAGTTGCGCAGCTTGTTTTCTCAGGTACTCGTATTCAGCGCTGTATTGACACATTTCTGTTTGCATTTGCTGAATCAGAAATGAAATATATACATATACATACATGATGTCAAATTAAGAAATATAAAAATCTTAAAATTTCATTTCAAGTTGTTACATTTCTTAGTATCAGACGACAGAATTAGAATATGTATTCTATACACTATACACCTATATATATATAGAGAGAGAGAGAGAGATATTACACCGCAGTGTGAAACATTAAAAATAAAATTACGTATTTTCAATTTAAAGAAAATGAAATACACAGCTACTCCATTAACAAAAATTACAAAAGCTTAACATTATGTACATCACCTTTTACAGTTGCGAATGAAGGGATTAACTTTAACCTTAACAAGAGATCAATACCAGATGGGTAGCTTATGTAAATATTGACACCTACTATTCTATTACTGACAAATAGGCCTACTTATATTCATATTCCAGATTATACGCTGCGCTGTTGAGCGAAGAACTATAGTGGCCGAGCGGTAAACTCGCTGAATACTGGTAGTTCGGTCCGGGGTTTGAATCCTTGCCAGCGGGGTGGCTGCATAGGCATTTTCATGGTTTTCTTCCTATGTAATGTATAAACAAGTCAATTTCTTACAAAGACCTCCACAAAGGCACCCTTTTTCTTAGGCAGGTAGCCTTCGAGTGCTTTGCCATAATCAAATAAACCAACCAAACCTTTAGCTTTTAAATTTGCTTCTCTTTTTCCTTACCTTTACATTTTGAAACCTCAGCATATTAGTATAGCTAATTAAAAAAATGAGAAAGTTAATTAAATTAATTAATTAGTTTTGTATTACCATTAACATATTTATGCAAATCGCATTCTGAAAACTCCAAACTTCCCCATTTACTCTGATTTTTATCACATACCTTGTTTAAACATTCATCAAATGTAAATGCATCCCCCAAATCATTTACACAGTTCATCAAACGTAACTCCTTCACTATTCCGATTTAAACGTTCAAGGCAAATTAATCAACTTTATCCAAACTTCTACCTCTGTGTATTCCCAAATTCGTCGTTTGTAAAAGATTCAGCCTTGTGAATGTAAGGAAACGTTTTCATTCACCTTTTGCCCTTTTATTAATTTTTTAATTACAAATTGGTCAACTGCCTAATTGTCATCGTTTATTTTTTTCATATTTGAAATAACTAAATTAAATTATTATTAGGAATTAAATAAATACTTATATCTTAAAGTTTGTTTAATTAAAGTTTACATAATTTATACTTTTAAGAACTGTGTGTCCTTCTGTTTTTGAGAAATGGCCTCTTGAAGTAAATGAAGTCGATCAAGAAGCGTATTAACTCTCTCCACAAATTCTTCATCATTGAGCAGGTATCGTGAATCCACAGCAGAATTCGGTGGGGTTGAAAATAAATGCAGTTCATTCCGCATTTCCTGTAATAAAGTAGAAAAACTGATATGCACAGCAAGAAAGCAATTGTTTTGTCAAAGTAAGTATCATCACATTTCTGGCAAATAATAATTTAATGTCACAGAATTGTTTCTTAGCACTGAAGAAGCTGTAAACAGTACAATAAGAAAATTAAAAATATGTATGCAGCTGTAGGAAAGGTGAAAATGTTTTGAATATATAAAATCGTCAATGTGTATTCGTATTATTGCTTAAAAGAAACAGAAAAATAAGTCTTCAGAAGAACGTCAACAAACTGATTAATTATACAAGTTTGCGATCAGTACTTTAAGTCAGCGGATCCTCAACCGGTGGAAAGCAAGAGAAGAATAGTTGGTACGCAAAGAAACAAGCTATTTTTAACTATTAAATACGAAAATTAAATACCCCAACATCCTGAATTTAAGAACGAATATAAGCTTGAATCTAACCATGACAATTTAAAAAATAAATCTGAAGAATAGTTTAAGAAGAATTTCTCGGAGTTAAAAAACAATAAACAAGTAATGAAAGGTGAAAAAACTTCAAGTGAACAAGCTTTGGAAGCTAGTTACATAGTAAGAATTGCCAAGACAGCGCTGGTTCACACTGTTGAAGAAAATTGTCCAACAGTGTGGCATTTTGTGATATTTATTGAAATTCCAACTTATATTACCAGCAGCTAAACATATCGTTTTGACATTATTCAACGAAAATGCAGCTAATGAACTTAAAATATTCCATTATCAAACGATACAGTAAGTCGACGAATTCATGAAATTTCATAAAAAAGACACTTATTCAAAAAATTAAACACAGTGAATATTTCGCATTGCAATTGGATGAAAGTACTGATATAACGAACTTTGTTCAATTATTAATTTACATACGTTTCTAAGAAGATAAACTGACTATCGAAGAGTATTTATTTCGTGAATATCTTCATGATAAAGCAAACTGCAAACGAAATTTTCAAAATAACTGACGATTTTATTTCTGAGAATTATCTTCTTTCGAATAAGTGCATTGCCGTTTGCAGTGACGGAGTTTGGGCTTTAACAGGAAAACATTCCGCTGTTATTTCTCAAATAAACAAAGTTGCACATTAAACTATATTTACACACTGTTCTATTCATCGTGAAGCTTTAGTAGCCGAAAAAATTCCCGAAAACCGTTTTGAATCAAGCTATAAAAATGGTTAATTTTATATAATAGTATAATATATTTTATTAAATCGTAATTGGCGCCAGACACATACTGAAAACAAATATTTATGACCGAAATAAATTATTTATTCTTTGTAAGATTTACAAAAAAATAAAACAAAATTGAATTTCAACAAACACGACCTACACGCAATATTATATACTATATTCCTGTCACAGATGAAGCATTTTGCATTTCGCCGCTTGCAACAAACAAGACAAGTATTCTTCTGTTACAGCAGTCACCGCCACCAGATGGCGGCACGTGCAAGGACTTTGTATCGCTCTTCTCTTTTTCGTTCTAGCCTCTTCTTTCCTTATTCATCCAAACAGCCGGCGATCTCACGTGACCGAAAGCCACCATTTTTGAAACTTTCGCTTCCCTCCCTCATTGGTGACGTCAAAGAACAAAGAGACGAAATATAGCCAGGCAGTAAGGAGGAATTGTACGTTTGATTTCGCCATTTTGTATCGGTATTAAGCTATATATACTAATAATTTCATGTCATAAGTCATGGTGCTTTCATGTTCAGCTGTCGGGTGCAAAAATCGTTTCGTAAAAGGTGGAGCAATCACATTTCACAGGTATTTTACACGTCATTTCCATAATTACGTTAAATGAGCTTGTTATAGTTTGAGGTACGCAAAGTGTTGTTTATTTATGAATGGGTACTAAATATAAAATTAATCAAAAATGTTTATTTTGTTTGTCTGAGGAAAAGGTAAGAAATTGTTATTAATTTTAAGCTAATGCGAATTTCATTACTTTTATATACCAGTGAGCTGTGAATCTTTTAATCCAACTTAGTAGTGAAGGATTATCTCTTCAAGACTAAGTTTGTTATTTTTCTGAAAATCAGATTACATTCACTTACCTGATTATGTCAAAGCATACTAGAGCTGTCTGCCTTGGGCGGAAAAAAATATTACAAGACTGTTTACATAAAATATTAGAAATTGATAGACATACTGTCATTTTTTGAGATATTCAGTAAGTTCTGTAATTTAAAAGAATTATGCAGAGTGCATGTAGATTACCACAGGGCTTAAGATTAGAAGTGCGGGAGCCCTATGGAAGACCGTCAGCAAAGAGGAACAAGAGTAAATAGATAAATAAAATGACTATTAAACTCATTAATAATTTTAAAATTAACAGTTAATTATTATCAAATTAATTAATAGCTATTTAATTAATGTTTATAAATTGTTATTTAATCATAATTATTATATATTAATTCGTTTAATTTAATTGATAATTAATTATTATTTATTGAAATATTTAAAGATTGAAATAATTAAAATGTAAAGAGATAAATTGAAATTTAATAAGCGATTTTTAATATAATTTTGTTGTCAAAATAAAATTTTCGAGATAAAATTTCTGCTGAAATTGTTATTCAATTACATAAAAGAAGTGCCGCAGCCTTCTTATTCAAGGGTTCGGTGCGTTCCGGCTAGAATTATGATTTTGGCCTCCGTCTCAGTTTAAGCTCTGATCGTAGGAGGGGGTGGAGTTTTTTTATCATCACAAAAATTAAATATACACTCAAATTGGAGACAAACTGATATGCATACAGGTTTCGACGGAAAATGCAAAATTTTACATTTTGACTGCCAATGAATGAACAGGTTAGTCGCTACAGTGCATCTGATCTGCACTAACTGGTAGGATATTTAAGAGGAGAAATGACGATTCCAGGTCATAAATTCTTTACGAATTTAATTCCATGTACTCTGGTAGACAGTAACTATGCCTCGCATACAGGTGCGCGAACGATATGCGCAGATGTCAGAATTTGAGAGAGGTCGTGTAGTTGAGCTCAAAGAATCCGGTTATTCTTATCGGCGAATAGCTCGAAATTTGAGCAAGAGCGATGCCACTATTAGACGATGTTGTCAGGAATGGGTGAACCATGGCGCACACAGCGTCAAGAAGGAAGAAGTAGGCCTAGAGAAACGACAGAACTTGAAGACCGAGCAATCGTCAGATCCGCACTCACAGCCCGAGAGGCATCATTATCTTCGATTGTACGTGCAACTAGTGCTTCAGTGACCGCAAAGACCATTCATAGACGGCTCACAGAAAGGGGGGCTGAGGTTACAGCGCCCCTTGCGCCGACTACCATTGACCTTTGTACAACATCAAGCCCGTTTGCAGTGGTGTCGGGCTCATTCGCACTGGAATGTCGCTAGTGATGAGTCCCGCTTTGAACTGAGCCCCGATGGCCAGCGAAGGCGAGTCTGGAGACGCCCCGGACAGCGGTGTGATAGCAACCTGACTGTCTTCCGGCAGACAGGCCGACAGCCAGGATTGATTGTCTGGGGTGCCATTTCATTTCAAAATAGGTGTTGGTGTTGGTATATTTAATTATCGCAAAGCACACTAGGGCTATCTGCCTAAGGGGAGGGGTGCCTTCGTGGAGGACTTTAGAAGGGAAAAAGTATACACGTTACACATGGAGAAAACCACGAAAACGCCCGTTCGCGGGATTCGAACCTCGGACCGAACTACCAGTGTTCAGCGACTTTAACGCTCGGTCGCTGGTGGGCCCATTTCAAAATAGGACCCCTTTGTTTGTCATCCCCCGCAACCTTACAGCAGAGCGGTACGTCGATGAAGTTCTAAGCCCCGTTGTGTTGCCCTTCATGTCACGCCACTCTGGGCTTATATTTCAGCAAGATAATGCCCGCCCCCACACTGCACATGTTTCTACTGCTTGCATGTATAGCTCTGCTTTTGAACTGTCACTGTCAGAAGTCGGTATTACACTGACGTGTTACGAAAAAGTACTTTTCCCACCTGAAAAAGGCAAATGTTGGGTTTTGTGATTATTCACGCAGGATGGACTGTCACACACTATATATATATATTATAATATATATATATATTGATTTTTAGCTTAAATGAACTTCCATTTTGCAGAACGAAGAGTCATTCAGATATCCAGACCTGAAATCTTGAGATTTTTTGTAATGACACTGCCAGAATTTACATATACGCAGAGATCATTCAACATTACTGGCAACATGAAGAAACATTACACGACTGTATGTATTAATGATTCCTGCAGAAACATTGTTTCTACCTGAGCCTTAACTTCAGGCGGAGCTCACCGGAAACATGTTTCGGTATTTGTTAGTTTTTGAAAGAAATCTTTAATTCCAGCCAAAGCGCATCAGAAACCCAAATAAGACCAATTCAGATACTTTGATGTATAACTAATGGCAATATTAGAGGAAAAGTATGTTATTATTGCAACACTTTACTTAAAAGTTTATTAAGCCGATATTAGTGTTAAATATAAGTTTATGACTATGTATCCTCCGATCGCCAATAGATGGCAGTAGTGTATGTTCGTAAAAAGAAACTGTGATGTCATAATTATGCACATGCATCAGTTCGTCTTTGGTGTTCGTCAATAAACGTTGTGTGAAATAGCACTTCCTGTTTATTACTTTACATTCGATTCAATCTGATTTATTAGAGACTTACATATATTTTGTTTAGGGTGCCTCCATACCGGGACTATTACGAACCAGAAAATCGACAGACTTAATTCGAAACGAAAGTAACTTCGGAGGAGATTGAAAATGAAGTTATGCTGAGTCAAGAATACCAGGATAAAACTGTTATATGGAGAGGAAGATTGCAACGATTTTTGAAAAAGAATTCGGAATCTTCTAGAACAGCTGTTCATCAGAACAAAACGGCTAATGTTGCACTTCCAGATGAAACGAAAACAAGGAAGTTACTACGTCTGCAAATCGGAACTTATTACGGAAATTCGTGTAAATGGTTGGACTTTTGGAACCAGTTCGAAAATACAATTCATAATCATAGTGGATTGAGAAAAACGAAAAAAAGTGCGTACCTAAAATCCTCACTTGGCTGTAATGCTTTAGCTGCCATATCCGGTTTCGCTTTAAGTGACCAGAATTATGATTCCGCAACAGAAATATTGAAAGAACGTTTTGAAAGACAAGATGTTGTCGTCACTTCGCATATGAATAAATTATTATCTCTTGAACCAGTGGGGAACATTTCAAATGTTAAAGCACTGCGTAAACTGTACAATGAATGCGAAGTCAACATTCGAAGTTTAGAATCGTTAAATGTTACTTCAGTTATGGAAATATTCTCTGTCCTATCATTTTGCAGAAATTTCCAGAGGAATTAAATTTGGATTTTAATCGAAATCGAAAAATGGAAGCAAGATTTGATATAAAAGAACTTATAGAAATAAATGTACTGAAGTGAACTCCGATGAGAAACGCAACATTTTGAAACTTACAGGAAGGTGTTTACTGTGTTTTGGACATTTAGAGATCAACTGTAAGAACAGACAGTTTTCCTGCAAAAATTGTCGCAGTAAAACATTATGAAAGTGTTTGTGTAAATCCCGCATCAGCTGTTTCCAGTGTAAAAAATAAGGAAACCGAAACATCGGCGGAAATTGTTCAAAATTCTTCTGCCAAAACTGGATATAAGATTTTGCTTCAAATGGTGTATGCTGTGGCTGAGGACAGAAACAAGAATTGTATTGTGAGGTGTCTTCCTGACCGTGGTAGTCAAATCTCTGCAATTCGAGAAGATTTATCAAGAAAATTACGATTACCAGTGAAAGGAGAAACTGTTTTAAATCTGCATACTTTTGGCGAAAAGAACGAGAAACATTGGCGTCGAAAGAAAGTTGAACTTACGCTTCGAATTATTAATGACCCTGAAAAATACATAAATCTCGAAGTCATCGAAGTACCTGTCATAACAAATGCGGATATGCGGGTACCAGATGTTGAAATAAAATCCAACCTCCAAGTATTCGGCATCACTTTGACAGACTGCGGCGGCGCCGGTGGAATGAGTCATATTTCCGTTTTAATCGGCTCGGACATTATGTGAAAAATTGCGAGCGAAGAAATAAAAAGAATAAACAGAAATGCCGTAGCGATGAAAACCATATTTGGATGGTGTATACAAGGCAGATTTTCGTCATCAGACTTTCAAATTCATGATACGTGTTTAAACGTAAGTGTAGAAGAGAAACTTCTAAAAAGCGTCGAATCGTTTTGGAATATTGAATATACAGGAATTAAAAATATTTCTGATGAAGAACAAAATGAAATGGGCTTACAGATATTTAACAACTCAATTACACAAAAAGGTGATAGATAGAAGTTAGACTTCCATGGAAAGATGAGAATGTGACTTAAGGTGACAATTTTAAGAATGCTGAAAGACGATTTTTAAATCTGATCGAACAATTTAAATCAAACTTGAACTTTTATGCGCAATATGAGGAAGCTGTACAAATATATCATGAAGCCAATGATATAATGAAAAGGGCATTAATGACTTTGACCAAATGGAATTCAAATTTGGATACTTTAAAGAACCAGTACAAATCGAGTAACAACTTCGTTAGCTTTGCCTGACTGTGATTCCCCCTCCAAGATTCTTGGACTTCAATGGGATACAATTAAGAATATCTTCTGTTTTAATACTCAAGATGTTATTGATTTCATCCTCTCAAATGACCAAACAAAACGTTGTGTTTTGAAAGCGGCTTCAGAAATCTTCGATCTTG